CTAGAATGCCATTGATTATGTCCATTTTGCTCTCTGAATTCTTGAAGACCTAACACTAAGCCTAAGTGGGTTTGTCCTCCAATGGGATTTTCAAATGCATTTTATCAGGAAACATAGCACAGGCTCAAAAAGTCAGCACCCTCCAAAGCATAATGATGGTTTATGAATATCTTGGCAATATCCATTTTGCTGTCCTAATTCAAGAAACCCTAATACTACCATGTTTCTTCAAAAATACGACCAAGTCTTATTTTCTTTTGATTCCCCAAAAAATGACTAGGCCTTCTTTTCAAGGGGTCCCTTAGTTTTTCCTCCATGCGCCTTACCTGGCCATCGGGCTGCTTCTTTCACAGCTGAAAAGAGTGACCCACTTGCCCAATGCACCTGGCTGGGCCACCGGGCCGCTTCTTTCGCAGCTGAAAAGAGCGAGTGACGCAACCCACACACCTTGCGCACACTTGCCTACCTGTAACAGTCACTCCAGCTACCAGTAGCTGTCCATCCGAAAAAGCCTACCATCGTCCACTCAGCAAGCCTGGCTGCACCTGCTCTTAAATAGGGCCAAATTTTGGGAGTAGGGCTTAATTTTAACGCATGCACACAAAACAATGCTGGACCTTTTTTTGGTGGGGGGGGGTCGTGTTTTAGGAGAAACACAGTAAATGTAAGTGTGTTTTCCCCAATGGGATTTTCCAATGTATTTTACCAGGAAACATAGGGCAGACACAAAAAGTCAGTGTACTCCAAAGCTTACCAAAGGACTATTAATCTGGTGACAATGTTAATTTTTCAGGCCAAATTCAAGGAGACTTCACTCTAACCATAAGTGGGTTTGCATGCCCATTGGGATTTTACCATGTATTTTACCAGAAAACAGAGATGGGGCACACTCAAAAAGTCAACAGCCTCCTAAGCTAATCGATGGGCTATGAATCTGTTGGTGACGTCTATATTTCAGTCTGAATTCAAGGAGACCTGACCCTAACCCTAAGTGGGTTTGCCCGCCCATTGGGATTTTGCCATGTATTTCACCGGGAAAAGATAGCTCACACAAGAAAAGTCAGCACCCTCCTTTGCTTACCAAAACGCTATGAATCCATTGGCAATGTCCATTTTTCAATGCAAATTCAAGGAGACTTAACCCTAACCCTAAGTGGATTTTTTTGCCCTATGAGATTTTCCATGTATTTTACCAGGAATCATATATAGGTCAGACTTGAAAGTCTCTGCCCTCCTGAGCTTTCCGAAGGGTTATGTATCCATTTGTGATGTTTCTATGTCAGTCTGAATTCAAGGAGAGTGAATCCTAACCCTAAGTGCCCCCCCCCATTGGAATTTTCCCATGTATTTTACTAGAAAACATACATAGGTCAGACTTGAAAAGTCTCCACCCTCCTAATCATACCAATGCGCTAGGGAACCTTTTGTGATGTCCATTTTGTTGTCAGAGGTTATGGTGAATTAATCCTAGCCCTAAATGGATTTGACACCCATTGCAGTACTTCCCATGGATTTTATCTGGAAACATAAATACAGCAGACCTGAAAAGTCTATATCTTTCCTGGTGAAATACATTGGATAATCACATTTGTGTGAAAACCCAGTTAGTATTAGGGTTAGATCTCCAACATGGATGTCCCCAACAACTTTCTAGTGCATTGGTATGCTTAGGATGGCAGGGACATTTCCAGCCCTCCCACTATATTTTTCCTGGTAAAATACACGGGAAGATACAATTAGTGGGAAATACACTTATAATCAGTTTTAAGTCTCCATGAACTCAGACAGTTGGACCTTGTCAATAGATTCCTAGCTCATCTGTATGATTAGGAGGGCACAGATTTTTCAGGTCAGTCCTATCTGTTTCCTGGTAAAATTCATGGGGAAACCCCATTGGAGGATAAATCCACTTAGTGTTAGGCAGTGGTGGGATTCAAATAATTTAACAACCAGTTCTCTGCCCTAATGACCAACTGGGTAGGTGTGGCTGGGTGGTCATGTGACTGGGTGGCCGTGGCCAACTTGATGTCACTCACATCGAGGGGCATTTCACCTTGCCTGGCCTCTTGTGACCATGGGGATGCTACAATGGTTGTAAGTGTGAAAAACAGTCATGTCACTTTTTTCAGTGCCATTGTAACTTTGAATGGTCACTAAATGAACTGTTGTAAGTCAAAGATTACCTGTACAAAAATATAAAAAGCTTCTTTGCTGGCAAAAAGCTGCCCTAAATACCAATCATTAGATTAGAAATACCTGCAAGGTGGAGTTACAAATCAGGCTGGGTGCCAGAACACCTTGAGGAATTACAATAGTTAAAATGTAATTAAAATTATCAGCAGCCAACTCTTGCTCATAAAGTGAAATCCTTTAGCAGAGAGGTCATTTAAGCTCTCCAAAAAGAGCACACCCAGGAGAAGCAATCCTTAGATCCATTTGCACCACTTACAGTTTCTGTAAGCAGGGCAATAAAGATTAGACTAGAAACAATACCAGAATGTCTTCCTTATAGGATTAGCCCTGTAAAGTGGGGGTGGGGGGGAAACAAAAGGAGATTTCTTCCACCAACTGGTTGTTCAAACTGCTTAGAAAGTTTAACAACAGGTTATCTAGCGAATAGGTGCGAACCGGTAGAATCCCACCTCTGGCGTTAAGTTTCCATTAACTCACAAAACAAAATGGATACCGTCAATGGATTCCTAGCATATTGGTATGATTAGGAGGATGAAGACTTTTCCAGATCTGAGGGAAAATCCATTTGAGTTAGGTCTCCAGGGATTCAGAGCAAAATGTAGGCCACTAACAGATTTGTGGTACATAGGAATGCTGACTTTTCTAGCCTGCCTTATCTGTGTCTTCAGATAAGGGAACCTTCAACAGGGAACCTTCAAGATGGAGATAGAGGCAGTTTTGATATGCAGTGTGTTTGCATTTGACATATTGGAGACTTGTTTTTATATCATTAATTTAGCCCTCTGGATATTCCTATGGTTTTCCAATGACAGCAAACAATTCCAGTTCAATGCTGTTCTTTTCAGCCTGGGTTTCAGTTTTTAGGGAGCTAGAAAAATGATAGTAATGCTATTAAATCCTTGCATTGCCATGTGTGGCAATCATGAAACTGTCTTGCACACAGGGGATGATGACAGCAATCATAATGGGTTTCTCTAGTAGCCTGCCTGACTAGAGTCTCCACTGGTGAACCAGTTTATTCAGTCAACGGTTGAGTTTCACAATGTATCACTGTATCAATGTATCAATTCCCATCACGTAGTTGGAAAGGATTAGTTGATTAGCTGGTGACTTCAGCCTTAAACAGTGCCTCTGACACGAACGGGGGACATAGCTGGAACGTACAGCAGTTTGTCAGAATTGACCACCCATTCTATGCCATCATACCTCAACACACCTGGATGATAATATAACAAAGATGCACATTAAGTTAATACCAGTGGTGAAATCTAAAATTTGTTACTGCCGGTTCTGTGGGTGTGGCTTGGTGGTGGTGGGGGTAATGTGACTGGGTGGGCATGGCCAATTTATTTATTTTTTACTTTTAAAACCATTTTTTCAGCGAAGAGGTTGTAAAAAATGCTTTCAAAAGGCTCTGACGATCCCAGCTGAGTTGCCTGATCGTCAGAGGCTTTTTAAAAAGAAAAAAAAAGGTTTTTTTTATTTTAAAAGCCTTTGACAATCCCAGGTGAGCCGCACAATCATCAGAGGCTTTCTTTTTATTTTTAAAAGCATTTTTTGGCCGAAGAGGTTGTAGAAAAAATGATTTTAAAAGTTAAAAAAAAGTCTCTGATGATCGTGCAGCTCAGCAAGGCATGGCGGGGACAGGGATTTTTGCTACCGGTTCTCGGAACCACCCACCTCCATCACTACCGGATCGGGTGACCCAGTCCAAACTGGGAGCATTTCACCCCTGATTAATACTATATGGAGGCCTCAGATCTATGATCCTACAATGGGAAGTGACTCAACTGATATCTTTGCCCAAGCAATGCAATGCAGACGAACATCCATCCCTATGGATTGGCTAAGCCATAAGAACTTGATTAAAATTATAAACTCTCTTAAAATAGGCTTCCTTTCCAGTTAAAAGCGCTGGTTTAAATATGAAGGTCTGAATTTCCTTTTTCATCACTTAGACACATAAATGCTGTTTACCGTAAGATATATTGTGCAACAACTAGAATTAGTTACGTTCCCATGGCCTTGGTTAGGCAACATATGTACATATTTAACTGAATTATATTCCCTATGTATTTTCTCCCTCGTATAGCACTCACTTCCTTCAAAAATCTGTTCTTTTTTCAAGGCAGTGTTGCAAAAGGAAACAAGAAATTACTTTTTTGTTATAAACCTGCAACATGAAATCATGATAGAAGTATTTGTGTTCCATGTATTACAAGATGCAAGACTGATGGACTTGTCTTGTTCCAGCACTGGATTAAATAGCTTTATTAGAGAGAATATACTTCCATAACTTGCTATAATGAAGAAAATTAATTTTCTATTGAATTTCTATTTCCTTCATTGTCCCTTTCATATTTTTTATCATATCTACTAGGATTTAAATGTCAGCCTACAATCCTAGAAAAACAAGTATGCTATAGCACAAAGTAGCTACTACCAAGGCACATGTAACTATATTTTATAAATAAAGTGTATGTAGAAAACAAAAGGAAGACTCTTAAAATGAATAAAGCTTTGAGATTAAAGCAGAATGAAAAGAAAATTAAGAGATTGGTTAGAGAAAAAGTGGTTTTCTAGACAAAACAAAACAGATAAAACACTGAAATAACAGATTAAAAGAGGGATACAATTGAAGTTTGATTGCATCACATCTTTTTTTCTCGTTTTTATAGAGTCATTGTCAGTATGATTAATGCTGGAATAGATGTGCCGATGACATGAATCAATTTAGATGATTAGATATGTATATATTATTAGATAAACCAATGTATTTGTTCAGTTTTAATAAACACACAAAACGATTTTGATCTAAACACTTTAATACATAAATATAAATCATCTGTTCTGTATAATAATACAGAACAGCAATGCATCACAATTTGCATTTGTTCTTACACTACAAACATCCTTCTTGCATCTTTTTTCCCCCTTTCCCTTAAATGGAATTCTTACTTCAGCCTGCAAAGTGATTTCCAAACATCTATTTAAACTGACAAGAAATTCAGATCAATAGCATAACAGTGAGGATTATATTCTGCCAGATTGTCATCTGAATGCTTCATAAAGATAGAACAAAAGAGGGAGCATGAAGAAGCACTGTTTAATTTCTTAAAAACTTATAATTTTATTCCTGAAAAAAATGTTGCATCAAGCCTGGATACCATCCAGTTGTAATGACACATTTCTAAATCATAAAGGTAAAGGTTCCCCCGCACATGCGTGCTAGTCGTTTCCGGCTCTAGGGGAGGCGCTCATCTCTGTTTCTAAGCTGAAGAGCCAGCGCTGTCCAAAGACGTTTCCATGGTCATGTGGACAGCATGACTAAATGCCGAAGGCGCACAGAGCGCTATTACCTTCCCGCCACAGTGGTCCCTATTTTTCTACTTGCATTTTTTATGTGCTTTCAAACTGCTAGGCTGGCAGAAGCCGGGACAAGTAACGGGAGCTCACTCCGTTACGCGGTGCTGGGATTCAAACTGCTGAACTGCCAACCTTCTGATCGACAAGCTCAGCGTCTTAGCCACTGAGCCACCACGTAAATCATACTGAATCATACTGAATAGTAATTGATTTTACTAGCTGAATCTGGAGAGGCATCTATTCACAGGTACGTTAACAGGTTGCTGACATTCATCTCTTTATTTTTCTGCCAATAACAAATGGCTTTAACCTTTAAGGGAAAAACAGAAAGGGCGCAGTAATGGGATGTTTTCAAAATGATGGCTCTTAATGTCACCAATCAAAAGATAGATTGTGTATGTAATACATCATTCCCTTGGCTGAAACAAAACAAAAGTAATGGAAAAGCATGGGATAATTGAAACATCTGGATTCCCCTCCCTTCCTCATAAAATAGAAGCATCTTGAAACCAAATTCTTAGGTCTAGATTAGTAAAAATATATATAAAATATATATGAACATATACAGTATCAACTATATATTCAGTCCTTTAAAAAGAAAAATCCAATGCAAGTCTGCTCAAGTCCTCTAGCTACAATCCAATGCATGCTTTCTGAGGCCCACTAAGTTTAATGGATCTAACTGTCTAGTTCCTAGGAAGAAGAATATGGAATTGCATCATTGTTTTTATTAAAGGAGTCAGAAAAGAAAATATTTTGCTACCAAAATCTGCAGATTCTGAAACTACTGAGAATTGAGCAGTTTCTTTGCAATCAACCTCTTAAGCTAGAACTAACAGTTGAAAATCTATAAACCTTATTATTATCAACAAACAGAAAAGGGATTGCTAGCAGCATTAAACTAGAAATCTGTAACAGATTTTATTTCTATTATAGAGGTACTGGAGCAAATACTAGGCTCTACAGGAGGCAATTTTTTTAAAAAAGCATCTTCTAGTCAAATCTAAGATTCTGCATTTTGGCTTGAATAACTATATTACACAGACACAATTGGCCTGCACGCATTTAATGTTAATTTTGCCATCTATTCACAATTCATTTAGAATAACTTCAGGTAATGTTATTATTTTTAATACTGGCATGCTATTTATAACACTTTCTGAGCCTAGATACCATTTATTAGGCATTTACTTTGCTATCAAATAATGAAATATATAATGTCCTTTCCTGGAAAAAAATGATATTCTATGCCTGGTAAACGAATATCAATCAGCTACCACATAACAAAAAAAGCCAGGTTAATTGTCTATTTAAATAACAGTTAAAGCAAGTTCATGGGGATGTTACAATGTTCTGATTTACGCCATACAATATGTGAATGTAGCCCTTATGTTCAGCCGTTTGTAATAATGCAGAAGCAGATTCTTTTACATAAATTCAAGCTGCGTCAGAAAATCTAGCACAATTTCATGCTGCTGATGTAATTTTCCCAATGCTGTACATCAGGGGTGTCAAACTCGCGGCCCGCAGGCCAGATGCCTCACGTGCTGGCCATGGCCACCCCCGGTTTAGCGAAGGGGAAAAAAGTTACGATGCGTCACATGATGACAATATGACAACGCAAGTTTGACACCCCTGCTGTACATGTAAACCAACACTATAAGAAGTGCTACAGGTGTGATGACTATAAATTGTAGTGGTTTGAGCTGCCCTTAATAAGGAGTCTGTGATTTAGAGTTGGTGTGAATATTATGAGTAGCTTTTGTATTGTGCCAGTAGCATCACTGATATTCTTCCTCATACTTGCAAGGCAAAATTAGGAAATGGAATGAATTAATGTTAATGAAAAGTTATATCACATAATAAATATACTTTCAGGCCAAAGTTTCCTATGGAGTTTCCAAACTATGCATTAAGCCATAATAATTTCAAAAAGTTAAAAATTATGGCATAAGAGGTTTAACAATACACTGTTCTAATTCTTTCACAAAAACACGTTCTCCAAATTCTGGTCACAGCAAATGTTTAGAATGTACATTATGAAGTAGATGGCTTTATAAGACTTCTAGTTGGAAGTGTCATTTTTGAACATCAACTAATAGTGTAGGGATTAAAACTGCCAAGCACCCCCCTCCCCCCAAAAATAGATTCAAAAAGATCAATTATCAATATCTGGTATAGGAGTCCTCTGTATTGAAGACTACGAAATAAGTTGCAATAAGTCTATCCCTGCATAATGGTGGAAGAAACAGATGCAGAATTTAAACCCTGAGGCTGCTACACCCAGACGACTGAACAATTACATTCTGCATTATTTGATTTCCTTCACTACTATGGCTTCTTACATCTGTTCTAAAAACAAGTATTTATCTGAACCCTATCCTTTAATCTTATTTTTGGTGAGTGATGTTGCTCTATCATCATGGCTCCAGAGATCTGGGAATACATGAGGAATAAACATGGGATAGTTCATTTCCTAAAACCCATGCTTCTGTTCTTTTAATTGGAATAAGCACTGTGGTGAAACCTTACTGGCTTGATGAATTAAATCTGGATCACTTGGAAGCCCTTTAAAGATCAGGATATTTTATTCTATCCATGATTAAACAAGCAAAAGCTGAGGTAAAGCATTTATAGCAATTTTAATCTCTCAGCTGTGAGCTCATTCTTTAGTATCCCATATTTACATCCTCAGGTGGTGCTAGTCTAACATAACAAGCCAAGTATATTAGCGTATTTTCTCTTATTGAAAACATTGCTATCTCCCTTGCCACTATAAAGTCATGTACCACAAAAATGGATATTTGTAATATGGCCTCAGTCTTCTTATAATATATAATTTGACTACATAATGTGTGTTTCATATTCCTATCATCCATATAACCTTCCACTGAAATGATATTAAATAAAGAAGGTAATTTAAAATGTCAGACTTTAAATTATAGAAATCATGTACAATTTTCAAATAAGCATCTTAAATGCCAAATGTTTTAAAACCTAAAATTTAAAAGCACAGCATGGAACAATTTTGAAAGAGATGATAAAAGTCCTCGAAAATCTTTCAAGTCACTCAGCTGCAAAAGCAGCTTCATTGGTTTCATTGTTTACATCACAATTCAGTTATAGTGCCCCTCAAGGCAATGATTGGGAATGCGATTTCTATTCTCACTGTACTACAGTATAAGTAGACATACACATCTGGGACCCAGATGATCTCTGATACATAACAATAGCATTTCCAAAACAAATGTGCAACTGTATTGTGTTGCAGTATTCCCAATATGGAAAGGAGAGCTCCAAAAAACATACCAATTCTGCTGCACTGAAATGTGTGCCATTTCACAGAACCAATATATTGTTCTGATAACTCTAAGTATGTGAACTTAACCTAAGATCTTACTTGTAAAACTGCAGACTTCTTAAGACCATAAAAACAGGTCTCTGTGTATTCGGAATAATGTCAACAGTATATTTGCATTCCTATCACCTTCAGTGCATTGAGGGGGACTATAACTGAATATAGTCCAATAAAGACCATAGCTTTGAGCCATGGAGTGAGAGAGTGCCTTGGAACCGAAGGACCCTAAATTATGTTTAAAATTCCAAGAATAGCAGACGTTCTGCTGTGAAGATATATAGAAGGCAATGGGGAAGAAGTTCCCCAACACAAATACACTGGTTTCTGGTTTCCTAACATGCTGTTAGGAAATCAAATTCCTTGAAATTAATACCCTGATAAAACACTTTCCACAATTATAAAAAGTTCTGTGTTCAAGAGAATAAAGTAATTCACACAAGTCAGGTCTTAAAATTAGGACATGTACTTTTTTCTAACATAAACATGGATAAAACTTTAGAACAATCATCTCAACTGAATTATCTGAGAGTCTTATTTCAAAATAAATATATTGATCTGTGCAAATAAAACTACTGTACCTAATATGGAAAACCACAGGTCTTCACATGAAATTTTCCAACATATCGTAATTATATATATATAATTCCATATATATATGTGCTGTGTAAAACAGAAAAAGATCAAGAATGATACAGAGAATTTGTAGTTGCACTAATTATGCCTTCAGAGCTTTCCTAAGATCAGAATAAAAACTGATCAGTGTACCAGCCATAGCTGTGTCTACTACTGATTGGGGGAGCATCCCACGCAGGTCCGTCTGGATAAAGCCAACTAAAAGACTATGTCTTGGATTGTCCATGAGTGGAAAGCAGAACCAGCCACAAGGGTGGTTAAATCCTCGAACAAAACTTGGCCTTACTTCACCATGATCCAGGCTAATACCTATTTTAACAAACAACATCAACAGCAATTATATGAGGATCTAGAGGAACACATTTTTAAAATGACTTTTTAACTAAATGAACAACATTTTGGAAATTGCATAATAAAAAAGCATACAAAACAATAAGCATAAAATAAAGGGACATGAAAAGATTATTTATCTTAGGCACATGTGCACTCACATAAACATAATTTCAGGGAGACATGCAACTATTTTATATATCAAAGCTCAGAATTTCTGTTCCAAATTGTTTTGTACAGATGAGAGTAAAATTTTAAAGGAAGGGACTATCTAAACCCCAGACCTGAACCATGACTTTATTCACCAGGAGAGTTGTTATTCAGCCATATAAATTAAGGAAATCAGCATGTGAAGAAGCATTTATGCATGCCTAAAGTTATTGAGAGCATTGTGCTGATTATTTCATGATACTGCAAGTACTTCATTTTTATTTTCTGTGGATTAGCATAATCAAGAATAAAATAGTTTTTTAAAATGTCAAGGTGCCCGCTTTTGTGACCCTTGCCTTAAAATGACTGATTTTTTCCAGTGAATTAACTATTATAATAATCAAGGATTTTCTCCATATTTCTACACTTCATTTATTTATTTATTTATTGGTTCAATTTATATGCCGCCCTTCTCCGGAGACTGAGGGCAGTTTACAATGCGTTAAGCAATAGCCTTCATACTTTTATATATATCTGCTTAGTAGGGCTTTCGGCCCCCCCAAGCGGTGTTCTTTTTTATACAAAGTCATCTTATTGCCCCCACAATCCGGGTTCTCATTTTACCTACCTCGAAAGGATGGAAGGCTGAGTCAACCTTGAGCCTGATGAGATTTGAACTTGCAGTAATTGCAGGCAGCTGGTGCTACTTAACAGCACTTTAGTCTGCTGCGCCACCAAGACTCCTTACATTTGTCACAAATGTACTAAATTTATCTTTCAGATAGAAGAAAACAGGTTTAATTGACCAGGTAATTTTTTGATATCAATAATTCTTTTCACACAAGTAATATTCATTCTAAAAAGTTAGCACATAACTGCTGTGTAGTAACACCAACTGCACATTTCAGATTCTGCTGTAAATCTGAAGGAAATCATATATATATTAGATTGCTCTTACAAAGCTGGATTAGAAGATAAAAGATTATTAATGAGAATTTACCACATGAGAGCAGTCCATCTTCACAATTGGTTGTGTAGGAGAAATCAATGAACTCTCTTGGTGCAATGATATTCAATATTTGACCAGCTGTAGTATAACGCATTACACAGCAATTCTGCAAAGTGATCATAGAAAGGCAGTTTATGGGTGATTCATTTTTGTTAAGCAAATTTTTGCAATCTTATTAAAAGTCCTAAAGATAATGGTAGGGTTTATGTACTGCATTGACATGTAATGGATTTCCTGGCTTAGGGTACTGAATGAACCAAATTAATTGCAATTTATTCAAAGCAAATCTTCGTTCAGCATATTTTAATCCAGCCTATATGTACAGTATGTACATATACAGATGTTCCTTGGTTAATGATCACTTGTTCGTCAACTGTTTGAACTTATGATGGTGCTGAACAAAAGGTACTTACAACCAGTCCTTGAAGTTCTGGCTGTTGAAACACCCCAGCAGTCATGTGATCAGAATCTGATTGCTTAACAATCAGCTCATATTTCCAACTGTTGCACATGATCATGCAACCTTCACAACCTTCCCTGCCAGCTTCCCACAAGCCAAGTCACTGCGGAAGCCGGCAGGAAGTCAGAAGTCATGATCATGTGAGGTTCTCGTTTAACAACCTATGGTTATTCACTTATCAATGGTAACTGGGGACTGCCATCACTAATTGGTAAATCATGTGACATTGCACTTTATGATTGCATCACTTAATGATGGAAATTCCACTTCCAATTATTGTCACTAAGCAAGAACTACCTGTATTAATATTGTTCTAAGGCCAAGAAAATCTTTTCAGGATCACGAAAATTATATTATATTCAGCCAGCGTTAAGTGCTGTACAGGATGAAAGAGTTTGGGAGAAAGGCTTTATTTGCCCTTCCATCAGTAGAGATCTAAATTAGAGTATTCTACAACTATGACCTTTAAAACAATTACATATCATGCCTTCTTAATTTCTTCTGATTTTCTCTAATAAAGAACTTTAGACAGGGATGGGCAGATTTCAGATGTGTTAGCTAGCTCTACTGAGGCCCCCAATTTAGGAATAAGTAAGAATGTCACTTATAGCATATGCACAAATTAATTTCTTACTGATTGTTAACATAATGCATCTTACATTTGCTAATCAGAATCCTGATAGTTATGATCTGTAAATGAAAACTCCAAAAGTGCTAAGTGCATGAAATATGGTCCATGCATTACCTCTTCATACTTTTCAACAATGTCCATTGTGGTCATCAGGCTATCCCAGCTGATCCGATAAGGTCCAGGACGTATGTGGTCTATTATTCTATTGGTATCATCTTCCACAATACCTTGTGTCTTATAGCTAAAGACCAGATTTAATAGAAGAGGGTTTAAAACTGTTAAAGCTTACAATGAGGATATTTGTAGACATCTTTAGAAGTTGTTGAAAAACTAATAAACCTCTGTAGTAAGTGTCTAACTCTTCCAAGTATTTATGCACAAATCCCATTTGAAAGGGTGGAGTTACACTTATAAAAATTACTCATTCCTCAGGACTGGATTATAATATTGTGTCCTATAATTCAGTGTATTGCACTTACCAACAAATCCTTTATCCTTCAGTTGCACAAAAATATATAGTTTACATGCTTCAAACATGGCTAATTGATGAGTTTGATATGTTGTAGTTATGATATTTAAGTAAATAATTGTAAGGAGCTATGGAGATAATCTTATAGAAAACATCCAAAATCTAGACAACAAGGAAGCATATGTTAAGCCCAGGGAGACAGAAAAGTTTTAGAACAACACTGTGCCAGCTTCCCCTGAATCTCGGGAGTATAAGAGGGAGGGAAAAGAAAACACAGGCTAATTTGCAAGATTCTGTCACCTCGGACTATTTCAGTATAATTCTCATCTTCCTATAAACAGACAGTTTTGCGATATGGTATACAACATAATTCTGATAATAAGGTATTGGTGGGTGCCCAATTTTTATTTTGCTCTAATATTGCAAGATCTTATTATTTATTTTGATTAAATCAGCACACGTACATGCACATGTAGTTTAATCTAGTACAAATGTTTTATTTAAAGTTCAACTTACAGATACCCACTGAATTCTTCTGATGGTTTACGCCAAACAGTAACATCTTTCTGCAGAAAAAAAAAAGAAGGATCACAATTAAGATGTTTAAAAAGTGTATTTCAGATCTTATTCAGAGACCTTATTAGAAGGAACTTTTCACATAGAGGCAAACCTTAAAAACTTCCTGGATACAGAAACATTATTTTAAAAAATAACAAAGAATACATATGATAATTATTATTTTGCATATCCATCTTCATTTATTGATACCAATGCACCACCCCTAAATTATTATATTTATAAGGTAAAGATAAAGGTTCCCCTCGCACGAGTAGTGGTGCTCATCTCTGTTTCAAAGCTGAGGAGCCAGCGCTGTCCAAAGACGTCTCTGTGGTCATGTGGCTGGCATGACTAAATGCCAAAGGTGCACAGAACACTGTTACCTTCCCACCAAAGGTGGTCCCTATTTTTCTACTTGCATTTTTTATGTGCTTTCAAACTGCTAGGTTGGAAGAAGGTGGCAGTTGGCAGAAGTAACAGGAGCTCAACCCATTACGTGGCACTAGGGATTCGAACCGCTGAACTGCCGACCTTTTGATCGACAAGCTCGGTGTCTTAGCCACTGAGCCACCACATCCCTTTGTTATATTTATAGACATTACTTAAATGTGAATTCATTAAATAATATGTTTAAACTGATCCAACTCAGAAACTAAGTACATTTTATACATTTTAAGACCACTGCAGAAAGAGAAAGTTAATAGCACTTATGTAAAAACAATATAACGTATAATTTATCACTATCAAAATAATAACAACACATCTTGTCCAAAGGTTTGGTTGGTCATTTTTACTTTTTTGGAAGCTAAGAATCACCATATTGTGTTCTATTTTTCTAAAACTAGCACAGCAAATATGGTCATCAACACAATTTAATACAATATAAATGTTTATATTGATGTCTTATTCAAATAAGAAAACTTGCTCAATAACTTACTGTTTTCCTAGCAACTCTCCATTCATTGTCCTCAATGTTATAGTACTGAATCATTGTATTTTTTAGCCTTGTAGCCAAAGAATCTATATCAGAGGTATCTTCCATTCTTTTTGTAACCTATAAGGGAAAAAAACAATTTAAAAATAAAATCACCTGAGATTGATTTCTTTTCCTGTTTGGCATTAACATCAAGATAAATCAACTTGTCTCCAAATTGCAAAAAAAAAAAAAAAAAAAAAAAAGATTATCCCAATATTTAAACCAGAGGCACTTCCTTAATAAAATGCCCCAGATTTCTTAACAGTGATGGTATTTTGGCAGTTATTCAATTCAAATTAATCATTTTAACCTTTGTATAGTTGAATGTCAAATTTCTGTGACTATTTTTTAAAAAAAAACCAGGTAAGCTATTTTTAGTATTTTTCTTACCTTCAAACCATTACTACTAAGATTTTCTAAAGCAATTACTGCACAATTAAAGCAGAAAGTATTAAATTTCATATTTAATAAAAGAGCAACAATACCTTGATTAATTATTTATTTAATATTGATTGGTTGATTGATTGATTTTGCCTTCCAATTGACTCCTGGTGACTGCCTGAACAAATCCCTGCTCAATGTTTCTTGGCACAATGTCAGAAGTGATTTTGAAGGTGTCATTACCTCCTTCCTAGGGCTAAGAGAGAATGACTGTCCCCAAATCTACCCAGCTGGCTTTATGCCTAAAGTGGAAATAGAACTCATGGTCTCCTGGTTTCTACCCAGATGCCTTAACAACTACCCAAAATTGGCTTTCCATCTTACTTTTAGGATATACAAATTTTAAGTTTACCAGTAACTTTGTACATTTTATTTTTTAACTTAAAATATTTTCATAAGTTCCCGAAATGTCATAGTCTCTACACACTGTGCCTGTTGTGCCTAATGGATAATATATGGAGATAGAACTGTGTGACTCCCAGACTAAGAAATATGTTCCTAGTTGTGTTGCTTTTTAGCCCCTACTCTTTTTACCTTTGCAAAATAGCCAAAGTATATTTCACTTAACAATGTTGAAAATGTTAGCTTTAAATTATACATTTTAAATTTTTGTTTTGTATGCTGTATTTTTGTTGTTTATTTACATAGACCATTCAGTTTAATCAAAAGGCAGGGTATAAATCAAACGTTAAGTATTCTTTCAAATAATTCCGTTAAATTAAAACAACTCTTCCGACATTCCCAACTCTTTCAGACCTTAACCACTGATACCCAAAGAAAGAAAGAAAAAAAAAATCAGAAATCTGGTAATACATAAGCATCACTGACCTGTCTCCCTCCCCATCCCAGAGATCTCAATTTAAATCGTACAACAGTTTGGTCTTTTTATACACTTCATAAAATGAAATGCAAGCTCAGGACTGCTTACCCTTTTTAATCAAATTTGGTGATCCCAAAAAGCGCTATCAGATTCCACCCGCAGCCTAACGAAGTCTCTCCTCTTCCGATGGGGAAAAGGGATGTCACCGTTTTGCCTTCATTGCGGTCCGACGACCCCCTGACTTTAAACCCAACTATCCTGAAATTTCCACGGGTTAAAAACGGTAATGGACAATCAGGTACCCTGCCCGACGTGTATCTTAAAACACGGTGAAAAAGGCTCCGCAGGTGATGTAACGCTCACGTGCCGAAATCTCCCGAGGTTGGTGAGATCAAGCAAAGAGGATCCTTCTCTGATGTTTTCTGTAATCTCCTCCTACTTACCGGGGGCGAAGCAGGGGAAGGTTAACTCGTCAAAGCCTCGACTCTAACGAAGGGTCTCCCCCCCACTCCCCCCAAGGCAGCGAATGGGATCCTTCAGGTCACCAACGGCTCCCCGCAGCTAAAGCGGTTCCCTCGCCTTAGTTTCCGATCTCCTCACCCGGTCGAGCGGCTCATTCACGTAGCCAATCCGAACCCAGCTGGCATTTCCCCCGCAACCAATAAGCAGCAAGTCTACCTCCCTCCCCACTCTTTGTTATGATTCTACTTGCACTTTGGTACAGGCGACCTGCGGTCATTGGCTGTTGATTCAGTGACGGCGGAATCGCGCGTGGTAACTGGCCAATAGAAAGATGGAATGACGGGGGGGGGGGGAAGAGCTGTAAATAAGTTACGGTGCTGCTCAGGGAAGGGTTTCCTTTGGTTTTTAGCCAAGGTGTGGCAGGTGCTTTGGTATCACTCAGAGTTGAATGATGACTAAATCAGAACACACCCAGATCATGAAAACTTAGAACATGTTTCCAAGTGACAATCCCTTTGGAAAGTTAAGAAGAAGAGTTGAAGTTGCCTCAGTATTGAGAGACAAACATGGGCAGAAGTTAGTGAAGTTCCAACTCCCAACATCTTTACTGGCCATTGTCCCTGCCTTTGCAGGGATACTCTCATATGATCTGACCAACTTTTGCTGACTGCTTTGTAATGTTTCTGTATGTTGTGCCTGCAATTTAGGAAGTCAGTTTGATGTAGGGCGTAAGACATTAAACTAGAAACCATGAGTTCTAGTCTCACCTTAGCATAAAGCCAGCTGGGTGACCTTGGGCCAGTCACTTTGCTTCAGCCCTAGAAAAGAGGCAATGGCAAACCACATCTGAAAAACCTTGTTAAGAAAAGTGCGGGAACCTGTCCAGGCAATCTCTAAGAATTAGACATGATTGAACAGAAAGGGAAAAAATATGAAATTGAGGACGGAAGGAAAGCATGCCACTGCCTGTTTAGGCCCCATCACACTCTGATGCTAAGGAGTTGTACTCCCCCTCACCACCTGAAAAGAAATCTGTTCCAAGTGCAAAACGCAAGCAGAGGAGTTTCACTTTCAGTTTTACTTTCACAGCAGCAAGCAACTTTACTACAGAACAGTTGAGCTAAGCCACGCCCAGACTCCTTCCTGTCTCCTTGCTCACACAGCAAATACTGTTTGAGTTTCCAAACACCCCTCAACTCTCTCACACACTGACAGGATGCTAGCCAGATGGATGCTGCAGGCTGGGACATTTACTCCCCCCTTCCCCTCTGTTCCAACTGCCAGTTGCATTATATTAACACACTCTGATGTTATGGAGTTACACATTCTACATTAAGTTTCAGGCTGCAAGTGTCAATTTATCAAGCCCGAGCACATAGTTTCGTAGCGAAGCATGGGCGTCCAGCTAGTCATTAGATATATGCATATACAGGTGGTCCTCGACTTGCAACCATTCATTTAGTGACCATTTAAAGTTACGACACTGAAAAAAGTGACTTACGACTGTTTTTCCCACTTGCGACCATTGCAGCATCCTCATGGTTACGTGATTAAAATTCAGATGCTTGGCCACCAGCATGGGATACCTTTTAGCGACCTTCTGACAAGCACAGTCAATGGGGAAGCCAGATTCACTTAACAACCGTGTTGCTAATTTAACAAACTGCAGTGATTCGCTTAGCAAGTGTGGCAAGTATGGTCCTAAAATGGAGCAGAACTCACTTAACCACAATCTTTCTTAGTAATGGAAATTTTGGGTTTAATTATAGTCATAAGTCGAGGACTAGCTGTATTCACTCACTTGAAGTCCAGGTTATTTCTATTTTTATATTTTATTCAGCTTCTTGGGAATATGAAAGTCAAAATAAGAAGCAGGTCAAAGCAGCTAGTATATTATAAAGTATTTGCTTATTTCATTTAAGATACATGTACAGAATTATTAACTCCCATGGTCCTGCTATATTGCTTCATCATGGCGGTGGTGGAAGGTGTTCCTGGGAATGGCAAGGGCATCATTTCATACTGTGTAGGAAAAGGCAGTGATAAACCATTTCTGTATTTTATCAAGAAAGCCACATGGATAGAAAATATAAAATGAAACAGCATAGTGGTGGGTGATGGCTCTCAAGTGAGACAGTGCTCAACATTTTACTGAGGAAAATCTGAGGATCTTTAGAGTACGAATTGTGTTTACAAGATGGCCAGATTAAAGCCTTAGAGACATATAATTGTTGTTGATGTTGCCATGCAGGAAAAGAAAATCTACAGCTGCTAAGAAAAAATGATACCCGGGAACATGGAATATAAAAAGCATGAACAAGGAAAAGGTCAGCACAGCAAAGGTGAAATAAATTGATGATACATCGATGTCTTAGGCATCAGTGAATTCATATGGTCTGAATAAATGAATGTCATGCTTTTATTATTCAGGAAACAAAAAGTGTTGCTTTTATATCAGGAAGGATATAGCAAGAGCAATGCTTGACTACAAAGGACCAACTATTATCAATTAAAGTTTATGGAGAAGCCTTAATGTGACAATTATCCACATTTATGCTCCATCCACTAATGCAAAAGAAGAGGAGGTTAATGAGTTTATAGTCATATTCAATTTGAAACTGACAGAACATAAAAGTAGAATATACTGCTTTGGTTAGAGACTGCAATGCTAAAGTTGAAATATTAAGATAGAAAATATGCTGTATATTTATTTATTTATTGAATTTATATTGCCGCCTATTCGCCCATGGCAACTCAAGGTGGCTTACAGAATATAAAACTACATTTAAAACAATAAAAAGTAACAAAAAGAACCAAACAAATTAATATAGTATAATATAACAAAATCACCTCCCACCCCCCGCCCTGGCAACAACAGATCACACGAGCCATTTAATGGGTTCCATCCCACTCTGGCTTCCCCAGGCCTGCTGGCAGAACCAGGTCTTCAGCACCTTCTGGAAAAGTATTAGAGTGGGGGCCATGCTAATCTCTGGGGGAATGATGTTCCAGAGAGAGGGAGCCACGACAGAGAATGCCCTTCTTCTGGGTACCAATAGGTATATCTCCCTTGGGGATGGGACCTACAACATTCCCTGCCTCCCTGCTCTGATGGGTCAGGTAGATGTGACTAACAAGAGACGGTCCCTCAGATAACTTGGTTCCAAGCCATGAAGGGCTTTAAAGGTGACAACCAGCACCTTGAATTGCATCCGGAAGCAAATCAGCAACCAATGCAGCTCCTGCAGGAGTGGTGATACAGGTGCACACCAGGGCCTGCACAAAACCATGTGGTTTTGTGCAGGCCCTGGTGTGCACATGTATCATTTTGCACCAACTGGAACTTCGGCCTCTTCGGCCAAAGAGGTTGTAGAAAAAAAAATGCCTTTAAAAGCCTCTGGCGATCCCAGCTGAGTTGCCTGATCGTCAGAGGCTTCTAAAAGCATTTTTTTCTACAGCCTCTTAAAGTTGTAGAAAAAAATGCTTTTAAAAGTTAAAAAAAAAAGTTGGCCATGCCCACCCAGTCACATTACCCCCCCCCAAGCCATGCCCACAGAACCAGTAATAACAAATTTTAGATTTCACCCCTGCCCTAGATTACACACAGGGTCTGTTCGGTGCCACCCCATCCAAGACCAAAGGTGACAATTCTCCCTGAGCCAATGAACCCCAAACCCAGAGCCACTTGGTCTTGCAAGGGTTTTGTTTCAACCCGTTGCTCCCCATCCACCTCTAACAGCCTCCAGGCGCTGCGGGAGGGAGGACACGGCATCGCTTAACTCACCACGGGCCGAGACATACAGCTGAGTATCATCAGCATATTGGTGATACCTCAGTCCATGGTGATGGATGATCTCACCCAGCGGCTTCATATAAATGTTGAACAGGAGTGTAGAGAGTATTGGGCTCTGTGGAACCCTGTAAAGCAGTGGGTGAGGGCTGGATCTCTCCCCTCCTATCAACAATGACTGAGAGCGGCCGCAGAGGAAGAAAGTGAACCAGGATAGCACTAGGCCTCCCACTCCCATCCCCCGAAGCCACCCCAGGAGAATACCATGGTCGATGTATTGAAAGCCACCGAGAGGTCAAGTAGAGCAAGGATGGATGCACTATCCCTATCCTGGTCCCGCCAGAGATCATCCAAAAGTACGACCAAAGCAATTTCTGTCCCAAATCCAGGACTGAATCCTGATTGTTGGGGTTGAGATAATCCGTTTCATCCAGAAACCTCTGGAGCTGCCGCACAACCACCTTCTCAACAACCTTCCCCAGAAGGGGAAGATTGGAGAGAGTTCAGAAATTATACAATTAGGTGGAGTCCAGCAATGGCTTCTTAAGAAGAAGGCAGACCACAGCCTCCTTAAAGTGCTGGGGCACTGCCCCCTTGTATAGGGAAGCATTAAAATATATATATAGTAATTGGTCTTGGAGTCTAAGAAAATGAAATAAAGCAGAACAGTTTACTAATTCCTGCCAGTCCAATTATTTCTTTATTCTTAATACAACCTTCCAACAACAAAATAGTGCCTGCATACATGGACATCCCCAATGGCATACAGAGAAAACAAATTGGTTGTATTATTATTATAAGAAGGTAAAAGAGCTCAGTTATAAGAAGGATATGGACCAGGGTAGGACTGTAGAATCAATCGTGAACTCTTCATTTGAAAATTTCAAATTAAACTAAAGTGGAAGAAGAAAGCCCTCAATCAATTTCCACAATAGGATCTTGAGCATATGCCCACCCTTTCCAAGAACATCAGGAATAATTTTTTTAAAAAAGTTTATTTTCATTTTTAAAAATACAATACTTTACATATATACATACAAGGTTATTGCAACTAACGTACACAAATCTGTACCTATACCACTAATACAATCCATTTCATTTCCCTCTCTTTTCTTTCACCCAATTATACCATAAATTCCAACATTTGTAATAATCAGAATCTTTTTGGTTCCTAAGTAATTTTGTTAACCGGTCTGCCTGTGAGCATTCTGTAATTTTCCAAATCAATTTATTTTCTGTGGGTATTAATTCGTTTTTCCATTCTTGCGCGTATAGTATCCTAGCTGCAGTAGTGATGTGGAGGATCAAATACCATTTCTGACAGGTCCTCGCACTTTTGACTGGTCCTCACACTTATGACCATCCTCACATTTATGCCCATGCAGCATTCTTAACAACCATGT